TGTAGCTGTCCCCAATCATAATAGCTTACACACCAGGTGCATATAGGTTAAGGCCTTATGTAAAATCCCCTTCATAAGCCCACCTTAAACCACATAATTGCATGACACATTGAACCAGAACGGCACCGACTGGACGTCACCCAGCGACGACTTTCGCTGGAGGAGACCTGCAATCCTGACATTGGTCTCCAATCTTCATCCAGTGGCCGCATCTTCATTTCAATCCAAGGGAACCCCTCTGTATGCTGATCAATCAACACCTCCATTCGTTGTGGATTTATCGTTGTGGATTATATGACTTTTTCCAATGGATTACAGACTTTGTTTCCAAGGGGTTAGAGCATTGCTACAATGGATTTACCAACAACATTATGGAATTACCAACAACACAATGGAATTACCAAAAACATTGTGGGATTACCTCCTTTGACTTTTGTTTTTCCTTGCTGGATTACATCAAGCTCAAGGACTTTCGAAGGCGTAAGTTCATGTTGGAATTCATCCCCATGGACAGGCGATGATTTCCAAAGGGGGGACTGTAGTGAACTAAGCCTCAGGTCAAGTCCTGACCCTGAGGGCCTTCCTTGAACAAGAACTGTTATTTCATTGATTTGAGTCTAGAAATACAAATTAAGCTCATCCAGAGACTTTCTAAGTGTGTCCTGCTCTGATCAATTGAAAGAACACTCTCTTTTTTATTATCATTACTATTTTACAATATCTTGATAATCAAAAGTGTGTTTAGTTCAAACCATTTTAAATGTTGAAGTGAACTACTCACTTTAAATCAACTGTGAAACAGTATAAATGATTTTTAATCCTCATTCAAAGTAGAAATCAAGCTAATGTTTGTTACAAGAGTAATTATGCATTTTTTGATCTTCTGTCTGAAATGAGCAAGTCGTGATGTGGGTCAGAAGTCAAGTTTCGGTCAAAAACATGTTTACTGGAAAGAAATGTCACGTTTAACTTTTTCAGACAGATAGAAGGAAAACGGCTCCTAAAAGTCTCTGCTCTTCAAAACATCTTTCTGTCTGTTCTTAAAACAATCTACTCTTTCTCCTTGACTTTTAATGACCCTCTTACGTCACTAAGACCACACCCCTGTTGGTTCTTTCAACCAATCAGGAAGTTCTCAGAGGAACCGGAAGTGACCTCTTTAAAAGGGTCAACACTTCCTAGTTCCAAGCAGAACAACGGGAACTACGCAGAACAAAGTTCTAGAAGGAAGAACAAAGTTCCGAGTCTCGTGGGGATTATGGAATCTTCCACATCTAAGTGGAACCTCTGACGGGCTCACAGCTCATGTGAGTCCACCTGAGAGGTGAGCGTGGTGTTGAACGAAGTACCGTCACTACTTCGGACGATTCGCAGCTGTTCCTACGGAGACGCTGGAAAGGTAGCGTTAAATGGAACTCCGTACCAGGGGAGACATCTACAAGGTAACGAGTCCCTCACTACCTAAGTGTACCGAGGTGGAGCTGGGTTCGGATGGAGGGTGCCGTTCGTTATCAACCCACTTTTCCCTCATCCATTTTCTCTCCATTTAAACTCCTTCATTTCCCATCTTTAAAACTCTTCTATCTTGCCAGTAAATCATCCAGATATTTTCATAAATGTCTGTTGTAATTAGTTGCAAGTGAGATACCATGGCCGTATGGTTCTCATTGTAAAGCTCATTAATTAAGCTGTGTTATCGCGTACAATCAGAATAATCACGTGTACAATGTTTGATGTTAAATTTTGATTCTGTTAATAAATGACCGCATTCATTTTGATGGGTCAAAGAAACTTAACGTCTCACGTCACTGATTAAACCATCTCCCACACAGTATCTCTGTCACATATCTGTCAAGTAGCTCGAAAAAGAGAGAATCCGTTTAAATTAAGTATAATATCAGGTACTTGAACTAGTCCAGATATTATAACGTGTAGTGGAGCTCCGAAGCTAAACGAAGCTAACCGACCTATCTCACTACACACGTCTACTGGATTGATAGGTCAAAAAAAAAAAGAGCTGGCAGCTCCAGCCGTAGCGGTGTTCTGTTTTTATATGTTGTTAATAAAAAGTTCTAAAAAAACAAAAACAAGGAGCGCTGGTCCTGTAGCCCACACATCAGACCAGCCTACCAGGAAATCTCCAGACGCTCCTGCAGCCATGCTGGACATGATTTTAATTAGCTTGTGACAAATTCCTTCATTTCTCACCATTTCAGTCATGGCATCAACGGAGGAGGAATAGATCACTTGTTTTTTGGTCAAAAAAACAAAAGAAAAAGCCAGATCAGGGATGAAGAAGAGGAATTTAATACATTGGTGTCTCATACAAAACAGTCAGGCAGTTTATTGTGCGACACAGAGTATGGCAGTAGGGCAAGAACTCATTGAAATTCAAACCTATTAAAGTTCTTCTGTTAAACTTTACCTTTTCAGGGGTCACCACAGCATGTCCTCCTCCTCCATCCTCCTCCATCTCACTCTGTCCTTTGTGTCCTCTGTCCTCACTCCAACTGTCCACATGTCCTCTCTAACTGCATCCATGTGTCTCCTCTTTGTCTTTTTCCAGCAGCTGCATTTCTAACATCCTTCTACCAATATACCCACTGTCCCTCCTCTGGACATGTTCAAACCACTGTCCCTCCTCTGG